GGCTGGTGCGGGATCGGGCAGTGTTTCGTTCTGCTGTGCATGGGGTCGCTATGAGTCGGAAACGACTCGACGGCACTTAACAACAACAACAACATTATATATATATTTCACCCCCAAAGCCCACGTGGATCTTTCACTCTATCCGTTGAAGAGCGCTTCTTTTCGCAATAAACCTATTGCCATCAGTTAAATTCGGACTCAGAGCGACCCTATAGGACAGAGTAGAACCGTTCCATAGGCAGTAAATCTTTATTTACAGAAGCAGACCGCCTCAGCCTCATCTTTCTCCTGCAGAGTGGCTGTTGGGTTCTAACTACTGACCTTTTTGGTTAGCAGCCCAATGCTTTAGCCACTATGCCACCAGAGCGCCTCTCTGAATATTTAGCCCGGGGGAAAAAAAGCCTGGAACTAATATTAGGGCCACAGCAAGCTAGAACCGCAAGGTGGCACTGCTTCAGTGCACCTGAAATATTCCCGGACACGGTCGCTGTAGTTTCCAAGAGGCTGCAGACCCTAACCAGTCTGAGGGCAGCGGCGTAGCACCCCCTGCATCCCTTTGCTTTCGCTGAACAGGTCCCACTGGATCTGAAACCCTGGGGAGGGCGAGTGGGCCTGGCCTCGATTTCATGAGGCACCCGGCGCTGCGGGAGCTCAGACTAGCAAGCGGATACGACCGGGTCTCGGACACGCAGCGGTGGCGCAGCGCCTGGGCGGGGCATGGGTAAACTGCACATCTGCGACCCTTCAGGCGCCCCTCCTCGCGTTCCCGGCGGCTGACGTTTGTATTCTGTCTGTCGGCGGAGCCCCGGGGCCGCCCCAACCCCCGACGGGGCAGAGGGCGGAGCCTTCCCGGCCGGGGCGTGCACCGAAGGGGCTAGCACCGCTTTCCCTCCCGCGCGCCTTGGCTGCTGGTCAGGCACCGGTAAGGGGCAGGTGACTGGAAGGGGGCACCAGGGTGGGGATTAGGGAAGGCGAGAAACAGGATACTTGGTGCGGCACGCCGGGGACACGACAGGGGGTGGATAGGGGAACTTGTTTGGGGGCCTCCTGGGCCCCGGGACTCCGCCCCTTCTTGCCCCTCCCTCAGCTTGCCTGTCCCCCAAGCCCGGCGCGCTCCCGCAGGGCCAGGGCGGGGCCTGCTCCACTTTCGGAGTAGAAAAGGGCGTGGGGCTTGCTTGGGCTTTCAAGGTGACAGCCGCCGCCCCGACGGCACAGCCGGGCCTGACTCCGCCATGAGCGCCGCGCTCTTCAGCCTGGACAGCCCGGCGCGCGGCGCGCCCTGGCCTGCGGAGCCCGCGGCCTTCTACGAGGCTGGCCGCTCGGGCAAGCCGGGTCGTGCCGCCCAGCAGGAGGGCCTGGCAGAGTTAGGCGCTACCGCGCCCGCAATGTACGACGACGAGAGCGCCATCGACTTCAGCGCCTACATCGACTCCATGGCTGCTGTGCCCACGCTGGAGCTGTGCCACGACGAGCTCTTCGCCGACCTCTTCAACAGCAACCACAAGGCAGGAGGCGCAGCGGGAGCAGGCAGCCTTGAGCTGTTGCCTGGCGGCCCCGCGCGACCCTCGGGCCCGGCCCTACGCCTCCTCAAACGCGAACCAGACTGGGGCGACGGCGACGCTCCCGGCTCGCTGTTGCCCGCGCAGGTGGCCGCGTGCGCGCAGACCGTGGTGAGTCTGGTGGCGGCTGCGCAACCTACGCCGCCTGCGTCCCCCGAGCCGCCACGCGGCAGCCCCAGGCCGCCCCCGCCTGCCCGCGACAAGAGCTCGGGCAAGAGGGGCCCAGACCGCGGCAGCCCAGAGTACCGGCAACGGCGCGAGCGCAATAACATCGCCGTTCGCAAGAGCCGCGACAAAGCCAAGCGGCGCAACCAGGAGATGCAGCAGAAGTTGGTGGAGCTGTCCGCAGAGAATGAGAAGCTGCAGCGGCGCGTGGAGCAGCTCACGCGGGACCTGGCCGGCCTCCGGCAGTTCTTCAAGCAGCTGCCCGGGGCGTCCTTCCTCCCCGCCGGGGCCTCTGATGGCCGGTGACGCAGCCTGGCCGGCCACAGAGACTTGCCAACGAGCCATACCTCAGCCCGACGGGCGGGGCGCGGTCCAGAGCCCGTCTGCACACACCGCCCGTAACTGCGCCAGAAGCTAGGACTGGTGGTTTTTCCGTAAATTATTTTTATAATGGTGGCTTTTTCTACATTTTACTCGTATCGATGCAGCTAAGGTACATTTGTAAAAGTGACGTCTCAAACAAACTATATTGTAGCTAAGAGGAAAAGACTGAGCATGCTCACCTTTTATATTAATTTTTACAATATTTGTAAGAATAAAGCATTTAAAACCGGCCCTGCCTCCTGTGTTCGCAGTGACTCCCGCACGCAGGTGGCCTGGGAACTTGATGAGTAAGGGGCCATCCCTCATCCTGGAGCATGCAGTGGGTCAACTAGGGAGGCAACGGTACAAGGCGTGTGCCCCCAATGTGGAACCGAGCTTCTCAGAAGAGAAGGGATCTGTTTTGCGTTTGAAACATGCCGAAGGCTACCTTCAAATTTTTTTACTTGAACTTTGCTTGCGGTCAGTGAAGCATGATTATAAACGTAGGGTAAGGGAGCACATTCTGGTGGGTGGTGCACCAAATCTTAGGCTCAACTTGGGGAGAGGCGGCCCCATCGGGTTGATATGGGGGCCCTTATTCAGGGATGAGGGGCAGAGGAGGGCTCAGTTATCAGAGAAGCCTGTTTGCATTTCTTTGGCTTTCAAGGACTTTGCTTTCACTTTCCTGTCTATGAACAACTACAAGTAGATTTTCAAAGTGAGTACAAATACAAAATAGTTATGTAGTCACAAGGGAGCTCTGGTAGCATAATGGCTAAAGCACTTGACTGCTAACCAGAAGGCTGGCGGTTCAAACCCACCAGCCACTCCTCGGAAGGAAGGTTGGGCAATCCTACTTCCGGAGTGATACTGCCTCGGAAACCCAAGGAGGGGTCGCTATGGATCGGGGCCGACTCGACGGCACATAACAACAACATGTAGTCACAAAGCTACTTAAAACCAGATTATCTTACTAGTAATTGTAAAGTTTCAAGGCTTCTCTTAATAAATAGATAAAGCCATCTGCCTTTCCTCCCAGGCTGGGTATCAGACACCTTTTTTTGGTCTATCTGCATTATGCAATTAAATAACTATGGACTGTCGTGATTATATGTTTATAAGGAAGGAAACTCATGAAAAACCTTTAGTGTCCAAAGCTAATTCATAGTTTTATGCCAATTAAAATCTCTGCCAACAAAGCAAAAGATAACCATATCCTTATCTATATATGAATAAGGGATTGTCCTTAGTTTATAACCACGACAAGAACTACTTGAGCCGGTGTAATCTTTGCTCTCTGCACACATTACACAGTGTGATTAAACAGGCCTGTTGTATAGTGAGCTACCTATATCTCTACTCAGTATAGCTGTAATCACACTGGTTAACTTATCTAAACTTTATGGATAACAGTTTCACCTCTGACATACCTTTTTTTAAGCACATTTCCCTAAAAATATCTAACTGCAAAGTGCTTAAGTAGAACATTTATTGTAGAATAACAGTAATATTACAACATAGACAAAGGTTTAAGCTTTCCAGGATATATTTTTAGGGAGATGTTTAAAAGAAATAGTGTAAGAAAGAAAAATATGCTGAATCATGGTAAAATTTCAAACACATTAGAATTACACAAAATGATTTTTCTGATCTATTAAGTATTGTTGACAAAATGAAGCCTTCTCACTTATTTAAGCTTTAATAACATGTTCATAAGTTTGTAGATGACCACTCACTGCTGTCAAGCTGAGTGTAACTCATAGCGACCCCTCTGTAGATGACCACAGGAAGGTAAAAAATATATAAAATTGTAGAAAAGTATTTTATTTGTAGTTTACAAAGCCACTTTACTAACATTTTCACCAGAAAAATTGAAGTAAACTCCATTTGAAAATCACAAAGTACATTTATTCTGTCCATTGTTAACAAGTAACCATACCACTACCACCAAACATCCTTGTAGCTATACTGCAAAGTTCAACACTTGGGTAGCCCAGGGTGCCGTGGTAGAGGCTATCCCTGCACTAAGAGTTGGATTTCCTCCAATCCAATGCAACATGTCGGTGGCTGGCTGTGGACCAGACAAAGCAGTTTAATGGCCCCACCTACTTTCCAAGGACACTCTTCACTTCATAACTCTGCAGTGATAAAGGCATGCTGATTAAAGCAAACAGAGCTAGCCCTGGACATTCTGTTCCCAACAACACAACAGAGCACCAAAGAGCCAGAGTAGAAGATCCTTTCTCCAGGGCATGACCTTCTACTGCTCAAATGGTGAGAAAAACATTGGTGAGGGGGAAAAAAAAAAACTAACAACCACAAAACTGAAGGACTGCTATATTAGCCCTATCATTATGGTTAATGAGGCGATGCTTTATTCTAACTGAATTCTGTTTCTACATAAGAAAAAAATTAAAATCTTACTACTCTGTTGTTGTTTGTTGTTGTTACATGCCGTCGAGTCCGACCAACTACTCTGTTAGTAAAGGTTAATAAGCATCTTCCAACTACTGTCCTAGGAAAGGAATTGGGGAAATAGACACATTAAGGGGCTCTTCTCTAGCTGGAGGCTGGGGCTGGGTGCACTGCTTGCTTGCTTGCTCATTTGCAGCTATCTCCCACTTCCTTTGGGACACTTCCCCAATCTAGCAACAAAGGATTTCCTGGTACTTTGCCCCAAACTTCCCTTAATAGGATCCTCTTTCTTCTTCTAGAGTTTCACTGGAGTAAAAACCTCTTTACATGTTGTAGTAATGAGATTAAAGGTTTTTCTGGGTAAGTATCTATCTTATGGTTATTGGTTTATCTAGGGCAAGTTTCATTTCCTGATGGAAACAGGGTGCTGAGGGCTGAATTATGCAGTCCCCATGAGGCTGACAAGGTGTGACCTGCCCTCAACTGAGACTTTTTTTTTTTTTTTTCTGTGAGTGGACTAAGAATAAAGAAAGGCTCAAAAGCATTGGGACTAATCACCACCCAAAAATGTCCTTGCCTTTTGGGAGACAGAAGCCCTGAAGGCAATGTGTTCTTTCAAAAATGACCTTGCTAGCACTTGTTGGGCAGTATCAGTGGTGCCACTTACCCTTCTCTGTGCAAAGCCCTTGACACGCCTCTATAGCAGTCCTCCCCTCCTTCAGCTCTCAGGTAAGGAGACAGAGGCTTGGGGATGGGCCTCTCCCCTTGGATCTGTCTGGCCTCAGTGACCAGCTTAATGAGAGGAGAACAAGAGGAGTGGCCTGTAAGCTGGTTAGAAAAGTGCTCCAGCTTTGCCTAGCTGATCCTTAGGACCCAGACAAGGTTCTGTGAAGTAGGTTTATGTGGGGCTCCAGGCCAGAGCATTGGAGGTCCCAGCTGTACAGGTAGCCAAATGTATGAGTGACCAAGCTCAGCCCTGAGCCACACAGCTGTGCCAAGTGCAACAGAGACGGACTGTCCTGCCCAGGCCCTGTGCAAATTGCAGGTGTGTATCAGATTGCATGTGCCAGCCAGGAAACTAAGATAGCTGCTCTATAGCAATAAATATCAGGGTCAGTCTGGGGTCTAAGCCTGGCCTGAGGCCTACTCACTACGTAACTTTAATATTCCCATATGTGAGGAGGCATAGCACTAAAGACCTATCTTATTTAATATGACTAGTAAAGAGTTCTGGCTTCCTTAGTGAAAAAAGGCAGAGTAAGGTCAGCAGTAGTTTAGTGGAGTGAAGGGGAAGAAAGAGAATTACTGGTTAAATGGTTAGAGATGGAATCTGCAGTGTGTTAAAAGCCTCCTCTGGGGCCTGGCTTTATGTTTGATGTGGACAAGCAATTCAGCTGGGGCCTTTCACTCACTCATTCATAACAGCTCGTTAAGAGCCCAGAGGGTCAGACACTGAGGAGACAGCACTGGACAGGACAAAGCCTCAAGGGCTGCTGGTCTGGAGGGAGAGTACAGGCTGAGGGAGATTAGGGGGAGATGACGACCTACAGTTAGGAGGACAGAGAGAAGAGTTTGTTAGCCTTGCATGTTTGTGTGTTCATGAGTATGAATGGGTGTGATGTGTGGGAGTGTGTGTGTGTAAAATAGATGGTCTAGGCTTCCCTATACTCATTTAGGGTAGCAATATGGAATTCTGACTTGAAAAGTCAACAATCATTTCTTTTTAAATATGTCAGTTTGGCAGTAATAGTCTTCAGTAATAACTACATCATCTGTGAATGGACCTTAAGTTATAAATATTTTATATCTGGGTGAGATCTTTTTTTCTTTACATTAACATTGTAAGGTTAAAATAATTATACCAGCAAACTTACATGCATTATTCAAATGAATGCATAGCTGTATATGTATAAAATATGTCTCCATTTAAAAAAGAAGGTCCTTTGGTGGTGTAGTGGTTAAAGCATTATGCTACTAACGCAAAAGTTGGGGTTCAAACCCACCAGCTGCTCCATGGGAGAAAGATGAGGCAGTCTGCTTCTGTAAAGATTTACAGCCTTAGAAACCCTATTGGAATTGACTCAGTGGCAGTGGGTTTTGGTTTTTATTTTAAAAAGGCATAATATATTTTCCTTTAACTGGGGCTTTTTTAAAAACCAAGGAAACAACCTCCAAATTCTATATACTGTGTTACCCTTGAGAACTGACTTGTGCAATGACAACCAAGATGGTGCTGTTGCTTTTGTGTCTATAGCTTGACTACATAATAGTACATCAAACTCAACATTCATGTAATCTTGCACTTGCTCCATGGAATGGGGTTAAGCTTATTGTGAAAAGTGCCAATTTGATTCATTGGGTTTTGGTGAGTGTAGATTCACACCCAGAAAACTGGTAGAATCCAGCAGGGTAACTAACAGGCTTTGTCTATAAGCAAGCCACCCCTCTGAACTTCCTGTGCCTACACACACACAAGACCCTGTCTGAACCTATGCCTCTGTTTATACAGAAGGTCCTGTCTGAACCTAATTCTTTACCAGCTATTTTCCACAGTGAGGTGTGGAGCTGTGTAGAGCTGGGGCAGGGGCAGGGGCTTACTAACACATGATCTTCTGAGCTCAGAATGTAACTTCATTCTGGGAGTATCAGCCCTGACACCAGAGGACGTATGGGATAATACCTGTGCCTCCTCAACCAACATGTACTCACACACGTGCGCATGTACACACACACATGCTTTTGAGTTCCTCATAAATCAGGCTCAGCCATAAGGAAACCCAGCAAATAAGAGAGGGCTTCTGCCAGGGCCTCCTTCTGGTCTTTGGGTTCCATCCCTAAAGAAGGTTGGGGGTTTGCAGGTGGGTGGTGCGCCTACAGTCCCCCATGACTGTTCTCTGGGACCCTGTGGGGCCAAGTGGGAATATCAGGCCCAGCCCCAGGAGGCCTAGCTCAGGACAGCCACAAAGCTGACAGGAAGGAATCACCCTCTATGCTTCAATTTACTCCTCAAGATCCTAAATAAAGATTGTGAAAACAGCTTGTAAGCTGTAAACCAAGTGTGTTTCATTTTAGTTTGTTTAGGTGGCTGGATCTGGTTCATCCTATTATCCTCAAGTAGGAGTCTTTACAAAGGTATGGTCCCTGACAATCTAGACCTGCCATCTTAAGCACCTGCTTAAACTTTGACCCCTTGGGCTTGGGCAGTTTCCTCCCTCTCTGGCAGGACCTCTTTCCTTCCTTCCTTCCTCCCCTAAGGACCAAGAGACAAGGACACCAGAAATCAATCAGCAAGTTGTACTGCCTCATCACCTATTATACAAGTCAACTTAAATACAAAAAGAAAAACACACAAAAAGACACCATCACACACCCCCATCTGGGTCAGCTGCCAGCTTTGCCAGGTGGTAACTTCTCTGGCGGTAGCAATGAGCGTTCCTTTATGCATCCAGCATAGATAATAACTATGAGCCCTGCACCCTTTGTGTCCTCAACAGTAAAGTGAGGTGTTGGGGAGATTAAATGAGGTGACCCATGAAAAAGTAATGAACACAATTCTTGGCACATGGATTTTTTTGACACTTAACTTTTGCAAAAGAAGGTAATACATAGACTACATGTAGTGAGGCCTTATTCTACAGCCTGACCTAAAACCTGCTTCTTGTGCAGTGCAGTTGTTGAGGCAAAGGCCTGAGCTGGAAGGCATTGGGCACTATGGCATGTTGCAGAGCTGCCCTTGAGGATGGACTGGGCTCAGAGAAGACTGGGACACTCTCTAAAGCTCTGTAGGTGAAATATTGAGAAGTCAGTGTGAGAACAGCTGCTCAGATTAATGATTCTCAAAGATACTATTTGTGGATTTACCTGTGTTCCCATTTACTTCACACTTGGTGTGGTGAAATGAGTTTCTTTATGTGGCCTTTTGCCTTGGTTCTTTGGAAAAACAGCTTGAGAGATTTTTGCCCTAAGCCCTGAGGAGCTACCTTCACCCTAGTTTTCTACTCCAGAGGGTTTGTTGCATTTCCTGGTAAGCTGTAAGCAACTTTGTTTGATACTTTTTGTCTGGTCCTGGGCTGCAGCCTGCCCTGTACTTGGTAGGCACTTTGCAGGGGCTGGTCAATATACTACTCAAATGGAGTGACTATGGCTTATGCAAATGAGGTGAATGTAGTCTACTATGCAAATGAAGTGTCTGTGGCTTACCAAGAGTGGACCATGGCCCCTGCTTGGAGGAGTCAGGTCTTGAAATTAACAAGGAGTTGTGGAGATCTAAGCAGCCAGCCCCACAGAAGTTTTTCAGACAGAAAGAAGCAAGGGAAAAAAAGAGAAAAGAGAGAAGCAGCAAAGACATTGGAGGCAAGGAACCTCCTAAAAGAGCTGTAACATAGGTCAAAGGCTGTAACACTGAAGACAGCGACAGTACTGAAAGGGGCCTGGCAAAAGAGTTGGTCGTGACAGATGGCATGGTCAAGAAGATCCTGTCCTGAGGGGGTTTAGAGAAAGCCTGCACGTTTGAGAGGAGCTGAGAGAGCTGTCCTGTACTGAAGGGAGACTTTGCCTACATGCTTCCTGATCCTGAGTTGTAGGCTGTTGATCCTGATCCTGAGTTGTATACCCTGTTCCTTAATAAACCACTTAACTGTAAGCATTGTCTGTGAGTTCTGTGTGGCCACTGCAATCGATTATTGAACCCGGGAGAGAAGTAGAGAGTGACATGGAGTGAAGGCTGGTGTCAGAATTGGTAAAATGGTTGGAGAGTCTAGGTGTGTCTGACCTCTACTTCATAGGGATCAGCCTTGGGCTGATCTTGATTTGCATTGTTCCCCTGAAGTTAGACAGGTTCAGACAATACTACTACTAGTCCCATTTCACACTTGGATAACCACTGGTTTAGATGGAAGAATGTGAAAGGCTGCTTCTGGCACAGGGTCAGCAGCCTGGGCTGGGTGATGGCCCTCCTGCTTGGGGGTGATAGCACTGGCTGAGCTGAAAGAGTAGGCTGGAGGGGGTGGGCCGGTACTTATCCCATTTTCATAAGTGGCTGACTTCAGAAGGGAAGAAATACTGCTCTGCAGGAACTACAAGAATGAATCTGGCTGTGACCTCCCAGCAGTGAAGAAGTCTCATGTAAAAAGTCATCATGTTCCAAATTCCAGAAGGTTAAGTCTAGAACCACCTATCTTGTCTTTTCCAGACCATAAGCCAGGCTTATACATGCACAGGGCAGCTTCCTTGCCCTGCTCCAGGGACTTTCCTTAGAGTTAGAATGAGAGCTGCAGGCAAGACCTTTGCGCACTAGTCCACAAAAACTGAATGTGGTAGGTGTAGAGAAGTGAGCACATGTTCAATGCACTGACCTACTATGACCCTCTCACTGTCCACGTGGTGGGTGTGGAGGAGCAAGCATATGGTCAGAGGATTGAACCCTACCGACCTTCACGCAGCACCCGGTCTAGAGGGACAGTTCAGGAAGACCTGCAGGTGCCTTCTGAGAGCAGGAGATGTGACAACATGGGAGCATTTACCCCAGTAAAAGTCTCCTCCTCTGTAATAAAAATCAGACAGGGCACAAGTCAGAGGAGTTCGTGCAGTAAACAGACTCTCTTCTAAACACCAGTGTGTGCTAATATAGAAAAAAGGGTTTTGCTCTCAGAAATCATGTTCTTAACGAGGTCAGAAGAAGTCCTGTATCTGACAGATTCTATAGAACAAAGATTAGCTCAGGGTCTTTGGCCACCTGCCAAGTGAAGTTCTCAAAGGCAGGAGAGGCAAAAGCCCATGAGTACAGGCCTGGTCCCAATCAGGTGAGGGAACCTCAGAGTTCCCCACCCTGCCTGAAAAGCTTATTTGCAGTCACCAGTCTCCATCCTCCTCAACTGCTACAAAGTAGACTTGTGATATATGCTGCTCTTCCTTTAGTCTAGAAATGAGTTGATGCACAGGGCTACCAAGCAGGAGGAGACATCTGTTCTTTGTTCTGAAGAATCAGAAAAGTAATGAACATGGTGCTTCCCGTCTGTCACATGACAAAGTCACATTGTGGGCCAAGGGAATGCAGTACCTCTGATACCCAGTGGCCCACCGGTGGGTGGGGTGTGTGTAAGCCTGGTCGGGGGAAAATGTGTGATCGCTCCTCTCACTGTTTACTGGTCCCTGTGGAAGTCTTCACTATTTGTAAAGTGACAGACTGCACAGTACTGTGCTCCTCACTTACTTTGCCTTGAGTTTTTCTTAATTCTCTTGACTGATAACACAGAACAGAACTGAAGACCAAAAAACAACTCAAAGTGTTCTTTTCTTTTTTAAGACAAGAGGAGCTAGAAGAAATAGCAGGAAACTCTGTAATGCAGAAAGAGCACACATTGCCCTGGCCTTGTCCCTGTTGTTTGTGCAGGCAGGAGTGGTTTTTCCTTCTGCCAGCCCTGCACTGAGCGTGCCTCTCTGGCTCCTGAGGCAACTGGTAAAAGCCAGCCTGAGTGGGCCAGGCCCTGGGCTGCAGAGGCAGGGGCATGCACTGTGATTGCAGGCCCATGCCCTGGGGATTCTAACTGAAGCTCTTTACCTGGCCCTGCCCCTGTTACCTGTGCTCTGGGCTCTGTTCTAATCTCCCATTGCCACATTGGTCACAAGCAGGCTCCGAAAAAGCAGTGCTCTCATCCACACCAGCCACAGTGCCTAGACCAAGTGAAGAAGGCCATAGGCTCAGAGATAGGAGCTGGTGCTCTCCATCTGCAGGACTGGGGAGGGGAGATGTTCCTGCCCTCCTAGAGAGTCTCTGATCCCCAGGAGGTATGCAATGATGGCCCTTTGATTTTTTTCCTCACTTGTGAGTTTATATAAATGTTTCTTAGCTTTTTTTATCATTTTCATTTTATCATACAAACAGAATTGCAACAATAATTAAAAGAAAGTTGTAACACTTACCTACAGCATCACCATTTAACTACGTATTTTCATTCTTGTGACTTTTTCAGTCTTTGTCTACATGTATACATATTTAAGTAGTTACAATCAAACCATACATGTAATGTCTCACTCTACTTTTTAGGTTGCTGTATTATTTTATATATCTATATATCATTTGGGAGCTCTGGTAGCATAGTGGCTATGACACTTGCCTGCTAACCAGACGGCTGGTGGTTCAAACCCACCAGCCACTCCTCGGAAGGAATGTTGGGCAATCCTACTTCCTTAGTGATACTGCCTCGGAAACCCAAGGAGGGGTCGCTATGAGTCGGATTTGACTCAACGGCACATAACAACAACAACATATATCATTTTATATATCTTGTTGATATTCCATTGAGCTGTGGTGGCGTAGTGCCTAAGGCCTTTGACTGCTAACCAGAAGGCTGGAGGTTCAAACCCACCAGCCATTCCTTGGAAGGAAGACTGGGCAATCTACTTCCGTAGAGATACAGCCTCGGAAACCCAACGAGGAGTTGCTATGAGTTGAACTGACTCTGCGGCAGTGAGGTTTTTTTTTTGGTTATACTGTAGCTCACTTAGCCTTTAGGTTTAGGAAACATTTAGGTTTCCAAATTGTATTAGTGCAATAATCTTTGTACATAAAATATTTTCTGTACTGAGATTCTTTCCTTAAGGTAGCTTCCTGGAAGAAGAATTACTATGTCAAAAAAAGCGTGAATATTAAAGATGTAGAAAATTTTTTAAAAATATTTCCTTAGAAGATTTTCTGATTTACATTGTCACCATCAATTCATAGTGTTTCACTACACTATTTGTTAACATCATCTTAAATATCTGTCTCCTTAATAGGTATAATGGCATTACTTATTTTAGCACTTCTTTAATAAGGAAAGGTCAATATTTTATTTATTACATCTCTTACGTGATTTCTTGGCTGGTGGCCCCTTTGTCTCACCTAGTTGGACTCTACATAATATAACCTTTTGTCTGTCCTATTTGCTACAAATAATTTTCTGGGTTTCCTTATTAATGGTATAAACATTTCTTTTTTTACTCTAACACTTGCATGTTTCTTTATTAAATTAACAGTGTGTAGGATGCTACTTAGTAGGGGATGTATGAGAGGTACAGAGACACAGAGTCTGCTACAAAGTCCTTGCTGTCATAGATGTCACAGTCTGTGGAGAAGATGCCTTAGATTGCAGCAGAGAGGACCTTTAGGTCAGCTTGACAGATCAGGGAAGGCACTGTACAGGAAGGGGTATGGGATGGTCTGTGGGAAGGGAGGTGACAGAGTGCAGCAGCCAGTGAAGCACATGGCACCAAGGAAAGGCAGAATCGAGACCATTCAGGTACTTGCTGGGGATTTTAGCCTTGCTCTTAGAAGGAAAGAGACACTGGTGGAGAATTTAAAGCAGGAGACTAAATTCAATAAGGAGGTCATCAGCATAATATCCCTAAGGAAAAGGAAGACATGAAAAAGTGCACAAGAGTTGCAGACAACAAAGGTAAATACTATTGCATATATAATACTGCATTATCAGATATAACAAAAATTAATCAACAAGTGGATACACAGGCTGACAGCTAAGATGAACAGGTACAGGTAGGTGAATGGGATTATACCCACAACCATATATAGGTCTGCAAATGGTATGTCCACATATGTATTTGTATGTCATATATCTATATCTATATCTATATCTATATCTATATCTATATATCCATGTATATAATAGACAAATAGGGGGCAAAGTTATGAAAACTTAACTATAACCAAATATCTTGAGGGAATGAGTCATTGGGCTTAGGAACTCAGAGCCATTAGTCACAGGGCATATCAACTGGCATAACATAGTCTACAAACACAATGTTCTACATCATACTTTGGTAAGTAGCAGCTGGGATCTTAAAAGCTTGCCAGTGGCTGTCTAAGGTACAACTATTGGTCTCTCCCAGTACAGATCAAAGAAAAATGAAGAGAATCAAAGATACAAGGAAATAATTAGTCCAAAGGATTAATGGACCTTGTGAACCTTTAGCCTCCATGACTCTGAGACCAGAACTAGATGGTGCCTGGCTACCACTGGTGACAGCTCTGAAAGGAATCACAATAAAAGGTCTTGGAGAGAGTAGGGGAAAATGTGGAATAAAACTCAAAATCATAAAAAAAAAAAAAAAAAAAGACCAGTCTTACTGGTCTAGTAGACACTAGTGCCAACCCTCCTCCATCCCCAGACAACTGAACTCTCCCTGTGACTCATCTTTCAGCCAAACAATAGACAGGCTTATAAGGTGAACAGTAACACCATAGAGGTACACATTTCTTAGAACTATCAACCATATGAGATCAAAAGGGCAGCCGTTTGCTCAGGGATAAAGCTCAGAAGGCAGGAAGAAATAGGAAAGAAGGATGAATGGAAATGGTAAATACAGGGAGAAAATGGGAAGAGTGCTGTTACATTGTGGGGATTGCAATCAATGTCACAAAACAAAATGTGTATGAATTATTGACTGGAAAACTATTTTCTCTGTAAACTTTCACTCAAATTACAATAAAAGTTTTTTTTTTAAAAAAGATTTTATTGACCAATAAATAAATAAAATAAAGGACGGGATTGAGGTGGCCTGATGTTCTTAGATATGAAGCATTATAGATATCATCTAGATGCACCAGCAAATTTCAGACCAGTCCTTGCAGAAAGTCATGAAATTGGAAGTTCAAAGAAAAAGTCAGACATGGCCTGAGTTTCCAGAAAAATAAAAGAGTTATCCTTCCAATTTTTGTAGCAATGAGTTTCATTCCCACTAGAACAAGCATTAAGAGAAAATTTATCTGTAGAAGATAAAACAGAATTATAAGAAGTAAGTAGGCTTGGTTTATCAAAATGTATCCATGCAATGCATACTTGAATGACTTTTGAAAAATGAAAATAATAGATCTTGATTTTGAAAAAGCTACCACTAAAGGAGCTCTGGTAGCATAGTGCCGAAGGCACTTGACTGCTAACCAAAAGGCTGGCAGTTCAAACCCACGAGACACTCCGCGGAAGGAAGGTTGGGTTATCTACTTCCGTAGTGATACTGCCTGGGCAACCCAAGGAGGGATCGCTATGAGTCGGGTCCGACTTGATGGCACACAACAACAACAACAACATATATGGGTATTAATCAAATTTACAATTATATGGGATTAAGCAATTTCCTTCTAATTTGGAAACAAGTAGAGAAGAGAGTTGAGCAAGGTGTTTCATCTACACATTTCCCTTCTGGCAAATATTAATACCTATAACACTCACTTAAATGGATAAATTGGAAGGAAAAACAGGATTTTCATTAAGTTTTGAAGGGTTGTGACACTCCATTCATCGGCTTCAACTATTTTTTTTTTTTTTAATTATTGTAATTTGGGTGAACGTTTATAATATCGGCTTCAATTTGCTATTAAAAGCCTTTAGGTTTCTTGTGTTATATGCAAAAGTTACGTTGTGATTTGGGAAAGGTATACCTTTTCCTGAAATAATTTTCTCAGAGGGTTCTTTCCAAGCACCGTCCCAGCTGCAAGTTCCCCCTCCGGCCGCACCTCTGTGCCACTTGGTCTGCTATATTCCTGCAGGCCTAGTTGGCCTCGCCTTATGCCTCACCAAAAATTTTCTTCAGTAGTCTTTTAACTCTTTCTTATACCCTCCTCCCTCTGTTTCCTGATTGAAAGAAGAAGTTGGGGCTCAGATTTTTTTTTTTTTTTTTCTATTAGGAGGACAGTACTCGACCCTCTCTCAGTGGAGAGGCATTTACCAGCTGCGTAGCGGTTCTCCTACAGCTGCCTGCGGCGGCCTCGCTATCAGACCTCCTATAAAAAGCGGTAAGCAATGGCCGGGGTGGGGTGGATGGGAGAACGAACATTGTTACAGAACGCTTTCTCCCCAGAAAACAAACCAGAAAGGAGTTGCTCTGTACTCCAGGAAGCTGGAGCAGTCCTGGGCGCTGGGGCTGCATGCCCCGGATAGGTTAACACTAGGTCCGGGCCGCTCAAGCCTTGCTCAGGAACCTGGTTAGTTCCGCAGAGTCGGAGCCAACGAGTTCTTGGAGCTGGTTTCCAGCCTAGAAGGAACCGGGCAGCCTAGGGCTGGTAGGGAGGGGCAGGGCGCAGCTGGGAGTTGGGGGAGAAGAGGGCGTTTGCTATCCGAGCTGCCAAGGCCACAGGCGACTGGAGAGTGGCAGGCCAGGCGCGAAGAGGGTAGGCCCACTACCACTTAGCCTACCCGGGCTGTGCTGCTTGGTGACCCCAGTGGCCGAACCCTCTCTGGCGTATGGCAACCCACTCGTCCGCCCGCCTGCTGCATCAGCGAGATCCCGGTGTGGACAAGGCAGCCCATGCCTTCAGGCTGCGGGATAGCTTCAGAGTAGGCTGGAGGCACCCTAGAACCCGAATGGAATCGGCGAGGTCTTCCAGTGTGCCCACTGTGATTTTTTCCCAGAAATCAGAACCTCTCGAGTATGCTTCGTGGGCGGTGGTCACAATGTTGAATTCCTGCTTCCCTCCCAAAGACGGCTCTCAGATCCTGCACTCTGCCCACTGCCACTTTCACTCTCTGGGTGTGACCACCTTCCCGCACTGCGAGGTGACAGCGGTGCAGGGAGGGCACACGATATTTGATGCCTCAGAATTATGTACAGTATCTCATGTGCAGTTTTGATATGCTTCACTTTATGTAGCATGTACAAGAAAATTTAAATATCAAAGATAAATTAGAGAGTTAATCATCATTAACAGATAAAGTCCAAGTACCATTCCTTTTAATGCAAGCTTATATATTGTACTATTAATATTTATCATGTGGCTAAAGTCCTACTGTGTATAATTATTAACAGTTTTCAAAGGCTTATACAACAATGACCTCATTTATTCCCCACACCTGCCTTATTTCCAGTGTATGGTGAGCCCACTGAGGCTCAGAGCTGGAACATATCCCTGAGTCTGGGATAGTCTCCACTTTGTCTTCTGGCTACATCCCTTGCTCCCCGCTCCCCACACACACACTCTGTCACATCTGAAAGCAGCATTGCAGGGTTCCAGGAATGCGCAGAGCAAGGAACTGGCTGGTCAGGGTTTAAAAACAAAATACATGTGTGGACATAAAGGAAGTACTCAGGGTAACACTCTGCCGCAGATGTCACCATTGGAGAACCCCTAACCAGGGTCCCAGGCACTTCACCTGTCCTGCCCAGGATGATTGTGGCTGCCCAGGGAAGGGACTCTACTGTTGCTGGCAGTGCTGGTGTTGTCCTGCCACAGCAAGCTCGACACTAATGATACACTCACTGCCCCTTTCACAAATCTAGGACCTGAGCAGCTGCCTCCCTACTGCCTTCACCTGAAGCAATCTGGTGTTGCTATTGTTGTTGTTAGGTGGCACTGAATCGGTTCTGACTCACAGCAACCCTATGCACAATAGAACCAAACACTGCCTGGTCCTGTGCCATCCTCAAAATCATTGCTATGCTTGAGCCATCGTTGAAGCCACAATGTCAACACATCTTGTTAAAGGTCTTCCTCTTTTTTGCTGACCCTCTACTTTACAAAGCCTGATATCCTTCTCCAAGGAACGGTCCCTTATGAAAACATAACCAAAGTAGGTAAGAGGAAGTCTGGCCACTCTTGTTGTTAAGGAGCATTCCAGCTATACTTCTTCCATGATAGATTTGTTCATTCTTCTGGCAGTCCATGGTATTTTCAGTATTCTCTGCCAACACTATAATTCCAAGACATCAACTTTTCTTTGGTGTTCTTATTCATTGTTCCAGCTTCCATGTGCATATATAAGGTAATTGAAAATATCATGGCTTAGGTTAGGTGCACCTTAGTCTTCAAAGTGACATCTTTGTTCTTCCGCATTTTAAAGAGGTCTTTTGCAGCAGATTTGCCCAGTGCAATATGACATCTGATTTCTTCCATGGGTAGATTCTTCCACATGACTGCTGCTTCCATGGGTGTTGATGGTATATATTTAAAATGAAGTATTTGACAAATTCTATCTTTTCTCCATTTATCATGATGTTGATTATTGGTCCAGTGCTGAGGATTTTTGTTTTCTGTATGTTAAGTTGTAACACATACTTAAGAATAAATATGGTGAAAGGATATAACCTTGATGCACACCCTTCCTGATTTTAGGGCCTGATCCTCTCTGTCTGGATCTGTGCTTTCATTTCAAAGCTTTCATCAATGTATTTCCACACCACTAATGTGGCAGTCATTGCTTTTATTATGCAATGCAAAGGACATTCCAGTTATAAAAAACCCTCCCTTGTTCAGCTCTCTTCCTAATTTAAAGCCAAGAAGACTGTAGTTTTTTATTTTCATCAGTAAGTCCTTCAATTAGTCTTTACTCTTGGCAAGCAAGGCTGTGTCATCTGCATACTGCAAGTCGTTAATGAGTTTTCCTCCAATCCTGATGCTGTGTTCTTCTTCATATAGTCCAGCCTCTCAGATTATTTACTCAGCATAGAGACTAAGTATGGTGTTCTGGTTACCTATTGCCTCTCTGACAAGAATATACCACAAATGGGATGGTCTTAACAAACAGGAGTTTATTCTCTCATGGTTAGGAGGCTTTAAGTCCAAGTTCAAAGTGCCAGGCTCTAGAGGCTGTGTGAAAGCCCCTCAACCTTGGGCTTCAGCTCTGCCTCTTGCTCCCAGCCCACTGAAACTAGAGGCATCTCTTCACTCAGGCAGCTACTGGATGCTGAGGCTAACAAGCCCAAGGTCCACGAATAAAATGGCATAGTCCCGATGTTACCAAACCACATGGCAGGCCATTAATTCAAGTCCATTTTAAGTCCCAAGGTCGGCAGAGCATGGCAGGCTGCTGAATAACAATATGGCCATATGTAGGGTCCAAGCGTGCCATAAGCTAGAGACCATTCCCAAAGCTGTTTCTTATATATGGGAAGCAGACTACATACCCAAAGCTGCTACTCAGCTGCTCCAATAGATTCCACCATGGCGTTAATTACTAATTTCACCATGGGGAATAACTACATTCAGCTGCCCAGCCACTCAACCATGCTTAGCCAAGTTGATACACAAATGTAACCACCACATACTGTAAAAAGATACAACATTAATGGACATGCTTCCTGATTTTAAACCATGTTGTGTTTGAATGAATGCTTCCTGGTCTATGTGCAGTTTCCTCATGAACACAATCAAGGGTTCTGGAATTCCCATTCTTATCAATGTTATCCATAATTTGTTATGATCCACATAGTAGAATGTCTTTACATAGTCAATAAAGCACACATAAACATCTTTCTAGATGTTTAGATTCTTTACTTTCAGCCAATATCCACCTCCTGTTAGCAATGGTATCCCTCGTTCCATGTCCTCTTGTATCCAGTTTGAACTTCTGGCAGTTCCTTGTCAATATATTGCTGCATCCATTATTGAATTATCTTCAGCAAACTTTTAATTGTGTGTTATATTAATGATATTGTTCAATAATTTCCACAATCTGTTGGATCACTTTTCTTTGAAATAGGCACAAATAGGGAGGATCTCTTCCAGTCGCTTGGCCAGGTAGCTGTTTTCCAAATTTCTTGGCATTTGTTTACTTGTTTGTAAGTACCTCTGTTGGACCCTTCCTGACTTCCTTTATGGGACCTAGTCCAATGAGAATATTTAGATAGTGCAAATGGAAATTCACAAGAAAACCTGTTCACGAAACAGAAATTCCCCAAAATGAAAAGAAAAAGAGCAGATAGGAAACCAGTTCCTCAAGCAGACACAGCAAAAGGAAACCCACCAAGGAAAGGATGCCCAAAACTGTTCAGGTATAAACCCAGAGGGTTCAACACTAAAGCAGTGGTTCAAATTCCACTTGAACCCAGAAGAGATTCACCAAGTTCTTCAGCTGTGGTGAGAGAATTAAATGGCCCCCATGGGTAGCACATTTGTTATTTTTCTCTCCAAAACAGCAGGGATCCTTGGTGATCATCTTTGGGTCTTGGTTCTGATGCCAAAATCTGTTAAAATTATCCAAGCTCAAAGAAATTGAAACATTATATTTATTTTAAACATTCATTCTATGAATGAGATAATTTCACCCCTAAAAACAATTGGCCCAAAGTTGGCTAAAAATAAGCCTTTGAATCAGCTCAAAACAATAATACAATATTTGATTGTTTCATAGTTTAATAAACAATTTGCAAAATGGAGGAGCATAAATCTCTCACGTATGAAGGAAAAATGAAAAGGCACGTCCAAGGATTGGAGAATTTGCAGAAGTTTAAATAATTTTTTTTCAGTGCTCTTTCTTTATTTTTTTAATTTTTATTTTAAGAGCTTGTTTTACATTCAACATCACGCGTATATTTAGTTTCATTCCGCGTTCGCTATGTCCGACCCTAACCCAGTCCCCTCCCCTCCCTACCCTGCAACCCTCCCCCTGTGCCCCTCATAATTATGCACTCCTGTTTGTCCTGCATTTCCTCAGTTTGAATGTTGGTCCTCTGGTGTCCCATGGTCTATTGCTCTAAGGGATGTGTTACCATTGAGTGTGTGGGTGTGGCATCCTCGGTTGAGTGTTTCTGCGTGTACATCTTGTTAACTATTGGGCTGAGAGCCTGCCCCTGGGGGTGAGTTTTATTCCTGGTGCCGAATGTATTTCAGGGCCATAGTATTGGGAGTCTCATCCGATTTCATCTGACCAGTAATTCTGGTCATTATTGAGTTTTTGGATTTTGTTTCATGTTTTCCCTCCCACTCTATCCAGGATCTCCAGATTTGATCCTTTCCTGAGTGGTTGGCATTGGTAGCCAGGCATCATCCAGT